AGGCGCCAGACGTCCCAACAGCTCCCGGAGTGAGAGCCCGGAGAGGCGGCCGGACCTCCGAGTCCCCGCGCTCCGGACAGGTGAGGGGGAAGGAGGGGTGCGAGCGGCGTGGGGAGGTGGGCGGGCGATCGCGGCAGCCAAAGCGGGGAGCTTCTTCATCGCTCCCCCCTTCTCCCGCGTCAGCCTCCGGAGTTAGGGTAAACACTGTCTTCTGAAGTTTGGGAAATAAACCAAGTCCGCCATCAGTTCGGGACTCCGCAGTCCCTGGAGCGCAAGACAAGCCGCGGGAGCAGCCTCCGAGAGCGCGGAGCCTCGGCGCGCCCGGCTGGGTTTCTCCACGCTACACCCTCCTTTGTTTCCGTTCCAGAGTCAGCATTCCCCGGGAAGGTGTTCTCGGCGTTAATTGATAACGGTCCTTGGCCCGAGCAAAGTGTGTTCAGGGCTTCCTAAAGCAGTATCGTATGTGGTTAGTATGTACACAGGCAAAATGGAGAGGCGAAGCAGTTATTGCCAAATTCAGCGCTACTCTTCTTCCTATAGAGTCTGTCCTTAAGAGAAAGGGCTGAGGGTTTGCGAGATTTGCTTCATTAATCATTTTTTTTTACTATTATTAATTGCCCAAGCCAGTATTTCATACTGTGCGGTTGTGAGCTCTCTCTGTGTGTTTTCTGCCCTTAGATTTAGATTAAGGTGTGTGTGTGTGTGTGTGTGTGTAATATTTGTAATAAAAACATTTCATTGTTCAGTACCAGGCATTGGTAATGCCAGAAAGTCACATGCTTCACATAAGTGCAATTTACTAGTTGTAGTCAACCCAGGTGCACCTTAATCTGGTGTACTTAAGAACTAAGTAAAGTATGTTGACCTCTTTCCTTGTTGTTTTTTTCTGAAGTCGTTGTGGACAACTGAATATATTGAAAACATTTCATTTACTTTGGTGGTTTGTCATTATGGTAACACTTAATATATAAAATGACATTAGGTTATTTGGCTACTGATACTAAAATATATTACCATTTTGTGAAAAGTAGGCTAAATTTTGAAACTTCGTAAACCTTACTTTATTTTTCTGCTACTGTCTACCCATACAGCAGCATCTGCTCGTAGTTTCATGCTTTTCAAACAGCTTAAGTGAAGAGTAAGTGTCCTTCTAAACAAATTGTTTCCATTAAGTGGAAACTATAGTTAAATGCTTTAGCAACTTAATGTTATGGAATTTTTTTTTTACTCTTTAAAATATATTCTGCCCTAGCCCGTTTGGCTCAGTGGATAGAGCGTCGGCCTGCAAACTGAAAGGTTCCAGGTTTGATTCCGGTCAAGGGCACATGCCCGGGGTCGTGGGCTCGATCCCCAGTGGGGGACTTGCAGGAGGCAGCCGATCCAAGATTCTCTCTCCTTGTGGATGTTTCTATCTCTCTCTCCCTCTTCCTTCCTCTCTGAAATCAGTAAAGATATATTAAAAAATAAAAACACAACACAAATGTATAAAATATATTCTGAGGTGTTGGGACTTCAAGAAAATCATTCTTATTAGAGAGCCCATAACTGTGATGATTTGGCTATAATTTGTAACCTAGTTATGTATAGCTTTGTATCCTAGGCTAGGGAAGTCTTCAGTGAACCAGAGGTGTTTCGTGCAATTTCCAAGCAGTTGGCACAGGAAGGTTTTACCTGTTGCTTCTGTGTCAGGTCCAGGTAAATCCATGCAGTTTCCCAAAGACATCTGTAATCAGAAGGGTTCTGCAGGCAAAATTGTTGTCAAGAGGCTGCTGTACTTATTTTAACTCAGAGAAATTTGTAGTGAAGCTTTTAAATGCTCCAAGAGTTAGCTTGTGGTAGTTGGACTTGCGTAGTTTCAGAATTTTGACAACAGCTCATTGGGCAGAGGAAGGTAACTAGTGATTTATAGGGGGAGTGGATCTGAATTGTTTGTTTATATTCTCTCATTCTCAGGATGACTCTCAGCTTAAAGGGAAATACATTCATCTTTAGCTTAGGAAAATAGATAAGAACAAAGATAAAAGCAGATGTCACTTTGTATAGTTCTTAAGAAAAATGAGTAGAAGATAAAATAATAAGTTCTCATGGCAATGCATATTACTTACCAAATAGAATGTAGAGTTTAAAAGCAGTTTAAATATAGATTTCATTTAATGTCACTGTCCTTAAATAGGAGACCGCATGGGGAGTCTGCATCAAGCAAAACACATCTGGAATGAGAACTTGTGTAGAGATGGAACAAACGAGCCCACAGTGAGATGGGCCCTTTATTTTATTAGGAATACATGAACTGCAGTTTTACCGAGTGTATCCATTTCAGGACTTAAGATGTGTTTTGTCTGCTGAGGTGTGATATGTGCCCAAGCCCCCAGAGAGCACAGATGAACACTTGTGTCATGCTAGCTGCTGGAGGGTAAGGTAGCTCCTGCTATGGGAGCTTACAGGCCGATGTAGAAGGGACTGGAAAAGGTGCCACGGATCACTGAGGACTTGGGGTGGTCCTTGAGATTCAGGGGTTGCCAAAGGCACTGTAAGAGGAATTGGAAAGACCAAGTCATCCTGACCAAGACACTGATTATGTGGCCCTGAATACATTCCTTGGCCTTTTTGGGTCTCTCTGCCCTCATCAACAGATCAAAGCCTTTGAACTGTGACCTTCCCATCCTCTTTTAAAAATACTTCATGATGAATCCTAAAGGAATTAAGGAGAGGGAGAAATCAGAATGTGGTGGGGTGGTGTTGGTGCCATCAGTAGAGTTTGGGTTGGAGGGTGACAGGGAAAGGGAAATATGATAATAATAGGAGGTAAGGAGATCTGACCTGGGGCATCTGGCCCATCATGGATGGTCTGTGTTCACAATACATAATAAAATAAGTACCGATGCTCACTGAGTACTTGATGGTTTTCAGTGAATTTTCAGAAATAATGGCAATTGATTTTCACAACAACCCAAGTAATTAGAGCGGAAAGGTGAGGAAATCAGGACTAACACTGCAAAGTGCCCTTGCACCAGTAAGCTCCATTGCCTTTCTGCAGGATTTGTAGAGATAAGAGAAGCTAGATAGGACGCGCTTTGGAAACCCTGTGGAAATGGGAAAGAGAGAGAAAGTTGGTGTCAGATTTTTGTGGGTGTTCACATTTCTGAGTAAAAATTTAGTTTACATTCTGGAAGAGACGAGTCTCCAATCATGAGATAAAGACTTCCTGAAAAGTCTTGAGTTCTGATTGTTGATGTTTAGTCTGATGACTCCTGTCTGTGCTCCCTCTCACCTCACCTCCCTCTCATTCTCCGGCACTAATTCTGGGGATTTGATTATTACAGAGTCATTGATAAGACTCTTCTAAGAGCTTTCAGTGCAACTGGTGACAGTGAATTCTCCTGTGAAGGTGTGGATTCTTGGACCATTGTGCTGTGAATTAATGGGATATATTCCATTGTGCTGTGAATTGATGGGATATATTCCAAAGCAGGCTGTGCTTTGGAAACTTTGTCACCAAAGGTGAAATTACACAGAAATCACAGGAATTACACAGGAATGTGAGCAAGGTAAGAAGATGTGGCTCTCTGCATTCCTTCCTGTAGTGTCCTTGTCATCAGCTCAAAGCATTAAGTGTACCAAGGGGGACAAGTCCTCACGCCCCCCCAACCCCCCATGTTCCTGTGGAAGGGAGTTGGTTAGAATTCATCTGGTTATATACATGAGAGGAACTTACCTTTAACCAGGTTAAGCAAAGAGGAAGATTTATTGGCTCATGTGACTGGAAAGTTCAAAGGTGGACTTTGCTTCAGTCATAACTGTTTGCCAGAGACACTACATCTTTGTCAGGGTTCTTTCTTTCTCCCCCTGCTTCTCGGCTCCTCTTCTCTCTCAGTGAACTTCATTCTGAGGCTCTCTTCCACGTGCTGAGAAAGATGACAGTCCATAGTAACACACCTGCATCTCTAGGCCTTTGATCCATAAGAAGTCTCTTCTGGGTCCCATTTCTAGAAATCTGGACAGGCCTTTGATCCGTAAGAAGTCTCTTCTGGCCCTAGCTGGTTTGGCTCAGTGGATAGAGCATTGGCCCATGGACTAAAGAAGTCTCTTCTGGGTCCCATTTCTAGAAATCTGGAAGGGCTTGGATTGGCCCTGCTTTGGTGGTCATTGAATCAGTCAATCTCTGTTTACAGCAGAGAGGACTACCATGATAGTCTTAGACTGGATCATGTGCCCAACACTGTGTGCATGAGATGCCAGTGGTGGGGTGCAGTGGAGAAGGCTGGTAGGGGCACCATGATGGACAGTTCTGTCTAGTCACATAGAGGTGTGATTCTCCCAAGCTAATGATGCTCTCTGCTGTTAAGGAGAATTGCTCCCTCTTTTTGGGGGACAGTCCCCTGCACCATGATGTCAAGTTTGTACAGGGAGACATCTCAGATGCCATGCAAGTTCCAGAAGTGGACTTTGCTACGAGGTTTCACAGAATATTATTGTACACGGAGCCGGCCACTTACCTATATCTGTGTACTTTTATCAAATACCCCTGTGCCTTATTTCCAGCCTAAGGATATTATTTACAGAAGCCTCGGTCATCTAGGGATCACAGGATTAGAGACACCTGGTGTGGGCATTATCAGTGAAAGTTTGAACAGGGAAATGAAGTGATAAACACAGAACTATTGTTTATACAGATTCATTGGGTTTGTGGGAGCTGGCTGGGCAGAAGGGAGGCAGTGGGTTCAGGTTAGTGTTATCACTTAGGAGGCATAAGGTGATAGGTCCCAAATGAGAATGTTGGCATATGTGGACGAGATAAGGAAAGTCTGGTGAGGTTGCATGTTAGGATGAGGGAGCATCTGTGTTGACCAAGCATTTGTGTGATGAAACAGATCAGGAGAGATGAGACCAAGTAAACAGGCTGGGCCAGTAGGTAAAATGGCAGCTGGATTGTGTAGAAAGGAAACCTGTGGCCACCAGGAGTCCTAGGGACAAAGCCTTTAGATCAGTGGTTCTCAACCTTCCTAATGCCGTGACCCTTTAAGACAGTTCCTCATGTTGTGGTGACCCCCAATTTCATTGTTACAAATTGAACATAATT